TTCATTCAATTCACATTTATCAAATGCATTTTGAATCTTTAAGTTCAGGATTTTTCTACGTCTTACACATAATTGCTCCACCAATAGGTACTAATTGATTGAACACAGCCATAATTCAGTGAGTACTCTTGTATTGTAAGTGCATCTGTCTTCCATTTGTAAAGAATCCAAAAGTTAACATTGCCGTGGGAAACTGCATTTTTAGTTCAAAGACAAGGATGTGACTGTTCTTAAAAGGGAAGCCAAGAGTATAGATATGAGAGTGATCGGAGTCAAGTTGGAACCTGATGCTTCAAGTCAGTATGCACAAATACTGTTACCAGAAAAATCAAAAAGCAGTATTCCAGAGAACAGCTTTACACATATTGTAAATGTTTTGTTATCTGGCATGTTAGGAAACTAGAAGAATCAGTTCTAGAATTCTTAATAACTTCAAAGGTAAATTGCTTCTTTTATTTGCTCCCAAGAATGTTTGAGCTGAAGACATTTTTCAGCTCACCAGATTCAACACATTTGTTTTTGTAGATAAGAAAATCAAGACACTTAGATGTCAGGTGACTTAGAGCTCAATTACTCAGGCTTGCTCTTTCAGTAACCCCCTTTTCCTGCTGTGAGACACAGGGGAATTACTCATTCTCACATAGAAACTTCTGTGGGTGAATCCAGGTTGTGTTTAGTTCCCAGGGCCCTTGCTCTAACTCCAGTGCTTTCTTTCCTACTTAAAATTTAAAAACTAATTAGGCATTTAACTATCCCTTTCTTTTTCGTTACGAGAAGCACTCTTTAAAGAGGAAGTAACAAAACAGCGCCCGAATTTGGCCAACAGTGTTTTTAATATTGAATTTTTAAATCGGGAGAGTTTGTGCAGAGCTCTGGATTTGCTGCTGTGTCAACAATGAGCCACATTCCCCATGGCAGCCCGTAGCTGGGAGCTCCTTTCCCCAGGCCACACACTCTCCCATTATCTGCCTGGCCTCTCGGAGGCTTGGAGGCACAAATTGCCCGGATTACAGGAACTTTGGCTTTAGCATTTTTTTGCCAAATAAACTGTGTCTGAGGTTCATTCTCTATATCTAACCACTTCCAGGATTGCGAATGTTCTTGAGTCTCCCCAAGGTTATGGTTAAGCTGAGGGTCCTGTTCACCTGACTGCACCTGTGAGGAGCTGGCAGATTGAAAGTTAGAAAGGTTCAGGCCACTCTGGTTTTAAAAACTTGGAATTCTCTGAGATTGCTATTTCTGTGCCTAAAAAGCTCAGACTTTTGCTCATTCAGAGACAAGAAACTTTGGCCTGTTTCCTCTGTGCTGGAGGCATTTGGGTTCTAATGGGATGCTGGCTAGCACAGAAATGGGCTTCCCCCCTTTCCTGTTGCTATACTCAAAGGCAACAAACAGCATCACCTGGGATCTGGGGAGAAATGCATAATCTAGGCCTCACTCGAAATCTACCAAATCCGACTGTGCTTTAAGGAGATCCTCGAGGGGTTTGCAAGCCCATTAAAGTTTGAGAAGCACCACTAGAGTGAGTAGTGGGAGATAACATTGCTCTTCTTCCTTGTCCTTGGGTCCTTTGTCCCCCAGCTGGCTCTATGTGCCACGTGTTCTCCCTGCACAGACCAGGACTCCCCCACAGATGATGTGCGCCCCCCACCACCCGCCGCCACCATCACCCCCAGGCCAGATTGCATTTGAGTTCATATCTGCTCTGATTTGCGAACCATTTAGCACTTTGGCTTTGCCAAGTTTATTTTCCCCAGTCCTTTTTATCCCTTCATGAAATTTTCAAATGGATGTTAAACAGGGTAGAATATAGCCAAGATGGTTTGTGAATGGAAGTTTCTCCCACCCACAGGCTGTGTACTCCGTCCTGAGTCATAAGTCAAGGATCAGGCAAGGCTACATAATTATTTTTGTTGATGAAACCCTACGGGGCCAAGATCTAATTTTCCTTCCTCAAAACAACACGAAGCCCCTCCCAGCCTGGCGGTTTGCCTGACCATCCCATCAGCGCCTGACTGTACCTCAGGGGGCCTGTTCAGGACATCAGAGGGCTGACTGCAAGGCCACAGCCAGTAGAGTGAGTGTAATGTGCCACAGTGTTCTCTGAACAGACCTCATGGTTATCTTGTACAAAGTCTGCACTACAAAACTCAGAGTATTTCTCCAGCACTATATAGCTCTGTCCCTGCCAACACTGTTTCACACTAAAAAATAAAAGAACCAGAGTTAAGGATTAAGTAAATATTACAAGAGACAGCAACCTAGGTCACCTGCTTATTTTTGAAGTAGGTTTACTTTTTTGGCTAAACCAGGTAGAAAACTTGGAGTATGCCTTAGTATCCCACAATACCCCAAACAGTATATTTAGTTTGTTCTGTTGCTTTTGGGTCTTCCAATAAGATGATGTTGTTGTTTTTTTCCTTCCCAGAGTTCACATCAAAACTATAAACTCTAACCATGGTCATGTCAAAACATCATCACTGTTGAAAATTATTAGGGAAATTGGGAATAGCAGAGGAGGAGTGGGAAGGGGTAGAAGCCAAAAGGAAATGAAGTATGAAGTACTTGCAGGTAATTGCTATTTCTGACGTAATTCTTTCACACAGGTTTTAAGATAAGTAATTGTTGAGGGGTGTGGAACAATTGCGAGTGCTAGAGGAGCCGTCCTGAGGGTGTCTGCCACATGAATATAGAAAGCAGTGTGCAAGGAAGACAAGCAGCTTTCTGGAAAATGCTTCGTAGAAGATAGACTGGTGTTCCTCACTCTTGTGAATCGACAGTCAGGCTTTTTATTCAGTGTTGCCAACAGTACCAAAGCCTACCTCAACAGACATGCAGGTGTGCATGGAAGGCCACGCCAGTGGTGTAGGTGTTTTAGGCTTCTGGTCCGAATATGATAGAACTAGAAGAGAAGATGGTTAGAAGAGAAGCACAGGCCTGCATGAGGAGGAATGTTACATGAGAACTACAACTCATCTTCAGAGAGCATTGGCCTAAGAACAGTCAGTGCAGGACCATAGAAAAGTTCATTCATTCACCAATATTCCAACACGCCATTTTGAAACTGGAAGTAACTCCTTCATTCTTAGATCCTCAGAACCTCATGATTTTAAAGGAAGAAGGGATTGAAGGAATCTCGTCCAACTAACTCGTGCCCCAGGAGAAGGGAGGTGAACTTTGTCTCCCACTGCCCACTGGGTGGTATTCCCTACTCTAATCCTCAGGCACAAAGCTGAAGGGTACAGATCTTGGTCCTGCCCCTCACTGTGCCCCCAGACCTTCTGGTATTGCCCTGGAGTCAGCCCTCTCCTAAGAGTCCCGGGTATGATGCCCTCGGAGTTGCACGCTGGCCCAGGCTCTGCTGCCTGCTCTGGCTCTGAGTCTCCTCTGTAAAGAGGATGAGATTGTGCCTCCAGAGGAATCAGGGCTCCCTTCTGGCATTTCATTCAAAATGTGTTCAAAGAAACAATCTCATTTCAACTTAATGGGAGGAGGTGTTTTTTTAAAAAACCAAATTAAGGTATCAAAATAGAACCGCACAATTAAAGGAAATTGTTAACGTAGGTATTGCCTTGGGATTTCTCAAATCTTGCATAGGAAAATATTTTTATTAGAACAAACCCCTTCGCAGATTACTAAAATTATCTCTAACAAAACCTGGTGATGGGTTGCATTTAGAGATTTAAGAATTTCAGAAAATTATAAGGAGAAATATCAGCATATTTGGTTGTAATATGACTTTATTTATTTTGTCAATTAGTTATTTGGCATGTTAGTTGAATAGGTTACTCTCTTAACATTCCTAATGATAACCAAAGATGCTGTTAAGGTCATTAGCCCGTTGCTTTGGAGTGCTGATGCATTTGTAAATGTTCTCAGCCTGCAGTAACAGGTTATGGGATGAATTGTTCCAGGGGCTGCAGGGGTAAGTGTTATATTATATGGCATATTAAATAAAAAGACTCCTTACAGAATTACAGTAGGAATATTGATAAACGTTCAACTATTGACAGGTGGGTTTCGTTGTGTTGTTGACTTGGTAGTCAAGTTTTCCCATGAAAGCTTACCTATTACCCAAGTTTTCTATAGTATTAAAGTAACATATTGTTAGGTATGATTGACACTTTTAAGACTTTGTTCCTAGTACTGTTAGGGGATTTGGAAATATACATACCATGAAGAAACTTTTGATTTCTGCTCATTAAGTATGAAAAATTATGGATAACTTAGGGACAATCAAATTATCTACTCATATGGTAAATCTGGAAGTATTTCTAGGTTTCTTCTAATGTTAAAAAAAAAAAAAAGTAAGCTTGTGTTTAATGGGAGCAACTCCATGCACATTTGTGGTTTTCAGGAGAAAGTGTTTTTAAATATATTGGTTGGCCAAAGTAAGATAACTGAAACATGTTGAGTTTTTGGGTTTTTTTTTTTTAAACTTTGTAGCTTTGCTGCCAATCCCATTTCTTGCCCTTTTCAGTTATAAAAGGAATTGTTGTAAGTGTTCCTGAGAGATTGGGAGTACGGAGGGAGAAGTTTTGCTTCATTGCAAAAGAGATAATTCACGACGTTGCAACCGGGGGCACGGAAGGGATTCGTAGGAACTCAGTAGCATGTAATGAGCTGGAGAACCGGACTTGGCTAAGCCCTCATTCCTACGTTCATCTAGTATTTGCTGGATTTTGAGCTAAGAAATGCCAACCGGGCGTGTTCAGAAGGCGGATCTCACCAATCCGGAGGCAGCTGGAAGAGTTCGCGCGTGGGAAACCTTAGCCCTTTCTTTCTTCCCAGCACAGCGTTGTGCTGCCGCGCGTCGGCACAGGCGGGGGTGCAAGGCCCGGGTTGTCCCCCTCGCGCATTTGGGGAAACAACTGCTGAGCTGCGGCCCGCGACCCTCGGCCGCGTAGGGGCGGGGCGGGGGCGCTGCGGGGTTTCTCTGTTGCTAGAGCCGTGATGTCACCCGCCCCTCCTAACCCGCGGTTGGTTGTTTTGTGTTTCAGCTCTGCCTGCAGTTGAACACAAAGACCTGGAGGAGACTCCCACCTCTTCAGGGAGAAGAAAGGAGGCAGCGAAGCAGATTAAAGGAACTTGTGGCTTGTGGCCTTTTTGTGCAAGGGCTGCCTGAAAGGGGAGAAAAGTGTATGAAAGCCACCGTGGCGGTTAATGAGCTGTGAGATGAGGCGCTGCTGCGGCCGCTGCTGCTGACACTCGCTCCCAGGCTGCACCCGCTGCCCTTGGCGCTTCATGTACATGTGTCTATTCAGGCCGTGCGGAGGCGTCCAGAAGAGCATCCAACACGGCTGCCGGGGAAAGACCGCCCACCATGCCCACGGAGACCCTACAGACAGGTAGCATGGTGAAGCCGGTCAGCCCCGCGGGCACCTTCACCTCTGCCGTGCCCCTGCGTATCCTGAACAAGGGGCCAGACTACTTCCGCAGGCAGGCCGAGCCCAACCCCAAGAGGCTCAGCGCCGTGGAGAGGCTGGAGGCCGACAAGGCCAAGTACGTCAAGAGCCAGGAGGTGATCAACGCCAAGCAGGAGCCCGTAAAGCCCGCCGTGCTGGCCAAGCCCCCGGTGTGCCCGGCTGCCAAGCGCGCGCTGGGCAGCCCCACGCTCAAAGTATTTGGCAACCACGCCAAGACCGAGAGTGGCGTGCAGAGGGAGAACCTCAAGCTGGAGATCCTGAAGAATATCATCAATAGCTCCGAGGGCTCCAGCTCGGGCTCGGGGCACAAGCACAGCTCCCGCAACTGGCCGCCCCACCGGTCGGAAACCACCGACCTGCACCGTCACTCCTTCGCGGAGTCCCTGAAAGTCTACCCCACGCAGGGCCGCGGCAGCCCGCAGGAGGGCGGCTCCCACGTGAGCAGGAGACTGCTGGAGCAGTCAGCCGAGTCCTTCCTCCACGTGTCCCACAGCTCTTCGGACATCCGCAAGGTGACCAGCGTGAAGCCCCTCAAGGCCATCCCCTGCAGTAGCTCTGCCCCTCCCCTGCCTCCCAAGCCCAAAATCGCAGCCATCGCCACCATGAAGTCCCCCGAGGCTGACCCTGTGGAACCAGCTTGTGGAGTCAGCCGAAGACCCTCCCTCCAGCGGTCTAAGTCAGACTTGAGTGACAGATATTTCCGAGTGGACGCGGACGTGGAGAGGTTCTTCAACTACTGTGGACTGGACCCGGAAGAGCTGGAAAACCTGGGAATGGAAAACTTTGCAAGGGCTAATTCTGACATAATATCCCTCAACTTCCGCAGCGCAAGCATGATCAGCTCGGACTGTGAACAGTCTCAGGACAGTAACAGTGACCTTAGAAATGATGACAGTGCCAATGACCGTGTGCCGTATGGCATTTCTGCCATCGAAAGAAATGCCAGAATCATCAAGTGGTTATATAGCATCAAACAAGCTAGAGAGTCACAGAAGGTCTCCCACGTGTAAGACAGTGCGTGGAAAGGAGGAAGGGTGGGTCTCTGTGCTTACGCAGTTGTAAAGGTTGTGAGGTCTCCTTGAAGTGTTGTGAGCTTCTCCACTCTTTGTGTTGCTTGTTGTGCAATGTTTTCAAGTTGCATGCCTGTCAACATGGGGACTGACCTGGCTTCCACGTCACCATCGCTGCAGAGCCTGGCCTAACACGCGTCATCTGCCAAAAGTTTCAGGCCAGAATCTAATTAGGGCTTTGCTCTTAAGCAAAACTGTTTACATGAAAATGGTATACGACTTCTTCAATATTTATGTGGTTCTTGTGTTTTTATATCCCGCGCTATTATGTCTTAATTAAAAGTTTTATCAACTGGCTTTTAAGTTGAGAGCAGAATCTTTTTGAAATAAAAAGCCACTTTGCCTACATGTGAGACTATTCCAATGGGACAGTAAATGGGATCTGCTACCAAACAGATAGTGACTGACCGCACATAGAACCAGGCTGGGTTTTCTGTGGAATAAAGTGGTGAGCCTGACGTTAATCGTTTACATGTTGAAATTCTCTTGCCACTTAGTGAAGTGTCGCTGGGGTAACAATGCTAAGTTTTGTGTCCGATTCAGTGTGTAAATGTTGGTGGTTCTGTGTAATGCTGACCCCAAGGAAAGACAATCAGATAAAATGAAGGATGGTTAAATCTAGGAGGTTGGGTGTTTGGGGGTTTTGTTGATGTTGTTCTGATTTGGGATATTTCAGAAATTTTTAATATTATCTTTTGACAGAATGGCCACCCTAAAACAAATACTGAATGCCTTTTAAAAAAAAGAAAAAAAGTTGTGTTTGTTTGTTTTTGTCGAGAACTACTAATTTCATGCTGTTTCTTTCTCTCTCCCTTTGTTGTTATTTGATTTGAGGGAAGGGAGTGAGGCTTGTGCAGGTTTGAGCTATCAGAAGACATGAACAGAAGTGAAAATACCAGCCATATCAGTAGAGCCTCCCATTCAAAAGTGAACACACTTGGTAGCTGAACCATATCTGAGCAGCGTGATTCTGTTGTCTTGCATATGTTACTCTCTCAGGCTGTGGGTCTCTGTTACAGCTCTAGGAAACTGTAGAATTTCAATGCTATGTAGCTTTTCCACCCCATGGTCTCTAGTGCTGCCTATCAACTTGTCCCCTTTTTTTCCCAATAACCTGTCTTTCAGGTGGTACAGTTAGCTGTCACTCAGCTGACTCTATGATGTGGCAGCAGAGAGGGAAACCTACAAGTGGTTTGCCTCATTGCCTTTGCCACATCTGAAGTTCTCAGCAGCGCTACCTTAGACTTCATCAGCTAATAGGAAACTTTTTATGGTGTAAATGCTGTAAGACTTTGTACATACTTCAGTTGTTATGAAATCTTTAAAGAAAAAAAAAGAAAAAGTTACACTAATAAATTGCTCTGGTGCAGGCACTAATGGTGGTGGTTTCTCTTTGTCCTTCTGTATTCTCCTTCCACAAAAGTTTGACTTTGGACTATGAATCAGAAGCAGATTTTTGATAGTCTTGAAGAAACATTATTTCATTAAGTTATATTAACCACATTCCAATTACTCCAAACACCAGTGTTCTTAATTGTGTCTCTAGCAATGTGCTTTTGCTAAAATGGTTACATCAGGGTTCCTAAAATGTGCTGCAGCATCTCAATTCACACTTCTGTTATTTTTGTCTTTTCTTAAACATCAGGATTTTTTTGCATCTTCCACATGACTCTTCAGTTGTAAATATTTATGAGTTCTCACCTTGGAGGCATACCTTCGAAATGTATGGCTTTGTTTTTATTTGTACCAGCCCAACATCCATACCTTGGCATGTTTTCACACACTGGCTCCTCCACTCCTTCCTTCATTCCTCTTGAAAATGTCACTTGTTGAGTGAGTGACTCCTTCCAGGTATCTTGGTAGGCACAGGACTTTCATAGTTAACAACACAGTCTCTGCCTCAAGGAACTTAGATTTTCCCCTTTATTTTAAGAGAAATAAAATTCCTCTTAGTGGACATGTCCTATCTGCTGTATTTGGACAATGAGTATTCCATGATTATTTATTACATCAAGTTATTTGAAAATTAATATTTCTTGCAAAATTCCATATACTACGCAAATGTAAAATAAAGCCCTCTTTAAAAGGTAATTTTCAGAAACAAATTATATGATTCTCAACTATTACTGTTTATAAATATTTTCCTTCTCAAAAGCAAATATGCTTCCTTGACTCTTTCTCCTGGTTTTGAATTCTGCCTGGTTTTTTAATTCATGTTCAGTAAAACTAAAACCCTGCTTCCCAGAAGAACTATTTTGGAATGCAGCTATGAGTGGGGATGATACAATGTGTTCAATATAATAGAATAAAAATAAGTTTTCTAAAAAAAAAAAAAAAACGAAGCAAAATTTTCTTTCCTACCATTTGTGTAGAAATGTGGCCTTTTAAAACATACATGACTTAGCATTGACATATTCATCTCTTTCAGTAGTATTCATCTCTTTCTAGAGCTACTGAAATACCAAAAATAGATATTATTTTCCTAAGGAAACCCTTGTCTGGGGAGATGAGCACTTAGCTAATTTACTATCACTGCTTGTGCTATTTGAGTCATAGACAGTGTTTGAATCTTCCAGTATTTCGCTACTGTGTGCAATCTGTATTCAGACAGGCCTATAAATCACCCCACTGTAATTCAGTCTAATCCTCTGTGGCCTTACTTGTACAACAGACAGATGTGAGGCTTTTGGTTCCAATGGAAGATGGGCGCTCTTTATTTTCTTTTTGTTCTTGAACTAGCATTTCTATAAAGAACTATTTTTTCAAATGCTTAATATTAAATCCTAAGAGTGTGGCATTTCTTTTGAAGTACTCTTTGTGACGGGCTCATTCTTCTAAGTTCATGGAAGAGTGTGTGTGTGTGTGTGTGTGTGAATACTGGTATAAATATGGTGTCATATAGTTCACGTTTTTTTTTCCTACATGATGCAGAATGAAACATGATTGCACTAGATGGCCTTGGAAACTACCTGTTTCTTTCTGAAAACCACCAAATCTTAAGACAGTCCTCCCATATGCAACCCCTCTGCCATTGCCTTAGTTCATGTTCTCATCATCTCTTACCTGAACTGTTGATTCTAGAAATTCCTAACTGGAAGTCTCCCTCACTCCCCAACTGGCCTCTTCCCCATTCCATTTCATGCCAGAAATATCATCATCAACTCTGATCATGTCACTCCCCTGTGTAAAGACTTCCTCTGGCTTCAATAGGTTGCTGACAGGCTAAATCCTAACTTCCTATAACAGAGGGGCATATGACTCTCAGATCTCGGTCACCAAGCCCAGGCCCCCAGACTCCAACCAAAGGGAAGTTTCCTTCGGAAAATTTTCACCACTGAATTTCTCATCTATTACGTAACAAATTGTCCCAAAACTCAACAACTTAAATAAACAATTATTTTTGTAGTTCCTGTGGATCAGGAATGCTAGAGTGGCTTAACCAAGTGGTGTTGGCTCAGGGTATTTCACGAGGCTGCAGACAAGATGGCAGCTGGGGCTTGACCACTTCCAAGATGGCTCACAAGGTATTAGCAAGAGGCCTCAATTCTCTACAGCATGGGCCTCTCCCACGGGCTGCCTGAGAGTCCTTATAACATCTGGTTCCCCCTAGAGGGAGTGACCAAGGAGAGGGAGCAAGGAGGATGCCACAATGCCTCATACAGTTCAGTGTCCTGGATCACACACATTCAATATGTGTGATGGCTGTCCATCACAATCAGTTCACTCGAAATGGGTTACTAAATATAGCCCACTCTCCCAAGGAGAGGAGTGAGGCACATATTTTAAAGGGAGGAATATCAAGGTAACTTATGGACATATCTTAAAACTGCCATTGCTGCAGAGTTTCAATAGCTCTTCACTCTGGAAGGAATGTTTTCTCCTCCCTCCTTGACCACACAGACACTTGCTCTTTCAATACTCAACACAACCATCAATCAGTGCAATTTTTTTTTTGAGTTTCCGTGTTGCCTTTCCTCACTAGATTATATTTTTTGTCATGGCCATGACCCAGCCTTTTCTAGCCTAGATAGTGCTTTGTGTGAATTTTAAAAAGGTGTGCCTTCCTCAAAATATTTTATTCCCTTGCCAAAAAAAAAATGAAAACATCCTAATAAACATGCAAATCTCTAATGACTGGGATGCAGACCGTGGTCCGAGAGTTGGGCAGCAAGCAGCAAACACAGAAGCCCAGGGTATATAAGAGGTTCTTAATCAGTATGTACTGACTTTTTTTTTTCACGTTCACGTCCTATGCCAAACGATAAATGTCACCACAATAAACCCAAAGTGATAGTTATTGTCCCCATTTTAGAGGTGAAGAAACTTAGTTCCATGGAGATTATGCACCTTAACCAAGATCCCAGAGAAAGAAATTTGCGGAGTGGAACTTGAAACTCAACTCTGATTCGAAATGTTTTGAGGAAGGCATGCCCTCCCTACAGTCCAGTTGAAGATAGGAAGAGGCAAACTGAGTGTGTTATGCTTACACACAGAAGGGCCCTTACATTCATTTTGGTATTTTTAACTGATGCCTGTGTGAAAAAACAGTCCTCAAGCAGTCAAAATTTCAGCGATTTCATTCGTACCTAAATGGGAGCCCATAAAGTTAGAAAAAAGACTTCAGCTCTTCCACTGTGGGTAACACACAGCCCACTGAGTTCAAAGAGACAAGGACATTCGAATTGTGTGCTTTCAGTTTTGTGTGTGCCATATTTTAAAATCACATCCTGTCTGTTTTGATCAAGGACTTTTAGAAGGGTAGAGAAAAATGGCCACAATTCAACAATCAGGAAACACATTTTGACTATTTGGTGAGTCAGCATCACTGTGTTCTCCCATCCTTGCAGGTGTAGCTGGCATGTTCTGACCAGAAGGAGTAAAGAGGGTAAGGATGCTCCAGATAAACTGAGTAGATTTCTAACTCGGTAGTCAGAAGAGATGGCTAATCTCATCAGCATTTTGAACATGCCAAACCTGACTTGTCCACTTAGCCCTGTAAAATAACTGGGGTTCTGTCACTTTCTACAGTGCTGAACAAGAGCTGAGCTGGAAGGACCCCAAGCTGGGTGGCTGCATGTGTGGCTCTGCACGGGTCACCTTCGTGAGGGTTTCTCCTGTGTGTTCAGGTCCTGTCCCCTTGCTTTGGCAGAAACTCTGGAGAAGGAAAAGCCAGAAGGAGATGGGCCTCGGCTGCCTTTTAGAACCCCTTCCTCCAATACCTGGGACTCACCTGCCTCAAAGTGTGCCGTCATTCCCTCACCTGGAAAACAGGGGGAGGCCATCAAATGGATGTGAGCCCTTGGCCTCACATCCTATGCTAAACTATAAACAACATTTGTAGTTCGTTTATAGTTTAGCATAGGATGTTTATTGCACGGATAACTGTTTTTGAAGCATTAGGATGATGTGTGAAGAATATGAGAATTCAGAGAAGACAGGGTTCATGGGCAAGTAGGACAGCAAGTGAGGTCCAATGGGGGCCAAACACTTAATGGAACAGCATTTTAGGCTCTGTCTACCTGAGAGAGTGTTAATTGGGGAAGGAAATGAAGGGTTCTTTTCTAAATGGAAGGAATCTCCAGAAAAAGCCTCATTAAACTTTCAGATTGACCGAGGCTGACAGAATTGAATGTGGCCAAGTTCACACCAAGATACCATCCAAAGTTGTGAGGATAAAGATTATGAGAGTCTTTTACTAGTTGAACGTTCTTTTCATGTGACATTCATGAAACAACTATCAGCATGTCTTAGATGGACACTATGCTAAGCACTTTGTTACATTATCTCACTTTATTCTCACAAGAACTTTAGAAGTAACTTAGAATCCATCTTACTGATGAGGAAGCTGAGGATTAAGTTTCTTCTCCAAGGCACACATCCAGTAAATGGAAAAAGCGAAACACAAACCCAGGTTCATAAAACATTCAGACTCATTCTATCATACGAAAATGAATTTTTAATATCTAGGATGGCGGGAGCCACTTTTGCTTCTTTGCAGTAAGTTGCATCTCATAACATTTCTCAGAACTTAAAACACTGTTGAACATACTGGTTTGTGATTGTTTCATAGAGTGAATGACTCAAAACTGTTGAGCATATGGGATCATATCAGGACCCATGTTTTTGGGTTCTTCTGAGAGGGACATTAGTAATAAACTGTCCCTCTCCATGTTACTGTACAAAAGAGAAAACAGAGATCCAGGTGAATAAGGTGGTGGACACAGACGGGGCTGTACGGCAAGGGAACTGGCAGAGGGGCTGGAACAGAGAGACAGATGCTCAGACCCCACGAAGGAGCCTGGATCAAGAACAATGGAGCCTCGCAAGGCTAACAACTCCATCGTGCCAAATAGGAGCAACCTGAATAACATAAACTCTTGTTTTGTTTTGTTTTGTTTTGTTTTGTTTTGTTTTGTTTTGTTTTGTTTTGAGATAGAGTCTCGCTGTGTCACCCAGGCTGGAGTGCAGTGGCACAATCTCGGCTCACTGCAAGCTCCGCCTCCCGGGTTCACGCCATTCTCTTGCTTCAGCCTCCCGAGTAGCTGGGACTACAGGCGCCCACCACCACACCCAGCTAATTTTTTTGTATTTTTAGTAGAGACGGGATTTCATTGTATTAGCCAGGATGGTCTCAATCTCCTGACCTTGTGATCTACCCACCTCGGCCTCCCAAAGTGCTAGGATTACAGGCGTGAGCCGCTGCGCCCAGCCAACTCTGTTATTTTTAAGCAGTTTCCCTTGACTCAAAAACTATGTATCAGATATTTAAAGAAACTTTGATTTAGAGCTTTTCTGTTAATATACATTAACTTTTTAAATTAATCCTAGCGGCCGGGCGCGGTGGCTCAAGCCTGTAATCCCAGCACTTTGGGAGGCCGAGACGGGCGGATCACGAGGTCGGGAGATCGAGACCATCCTGGCTAACACGGTGAAACCCCGTCTCTACTAAAAAATACAAAAAACTAGCCGGGCGAGGTGGTGGGCGCCTGTAGTCCCAGCTACTTGGGAGGCTGAGGCAGGAGAATGGCGTGAACCCGGGAGGTGGAGCTTGCAGTGAGCTGAGATCCGGCCACTGCACTCCAGCCTGGGCAACAGAGCGAGACTCCGTCTCAAAAAAAAAAAATTAATTAATTAATTAATTAATCCTAGCAAACATAAAATACTTAATAAAGATGAAGAAATTTCTCTAAGGAAGTTTTTGTCAATTTTGGAAATGAGTACCACTATCTTATTATTTTATTAACTTCACCATCCATAGATGCCCAGTGATCCTCAAGATCTCAAGATCCATCTTTCCAGGTCTGGTTCCTCCACCTCCTTGTCTGCTGAGGTGGACAT